AGCCGCGGCCGCAACTTCGCTCGCCGATGCCATGCAAACGCCCTGCAACTCAAGTCGACGATTGCACATCAATATATAGTAATGTTATGCATCGTCAATTCATAAATTGTTTACTGTTATAGTATTGTTATAATAAATATAGATACTGTGTGGAGTGTAAGCATGCGAACTGAAAGACGAGTTAGTCCTTAACCTAACCTAACCTAATCAGGTAATGGTATATTATATAGATTTTGTGTCGTYTCATATCTGTGCAGACTGGAAAACCGAAGGTTTTATAGGTTTTACAATAGCATCACTTTTTTCGTACGTCATCCATTAACCTTTTTTAGCGAATGAAATTAGTGTTGCAAGAGTTATCATAAGCTTTTCTGTAAAGTGGAAATTTGACATATTGAAAACAGAAATAAGCGRGAGAAGAATGATGAATAAGAATTCGATATTATGAACTAGCATTAGATTTTTTGTAAATCCATTGACTGACTAATGGTTKTTGTTTTTACTGTCAAGTTGTAAATCTCCCTTCTAAGTGGTTYACYCACTCAAATACTGTATCAAGCTCACGGAACTAAATATAATACTTAATAAATCTTATATGTGCATCTCGCTTTTACCTGGATGATGTATATAGGTAACTGTAAATACACCGCCCACATAATAAACACAGTATCAATACATTAAATTAATATATGTGTAGCACAATTAATGATACTATTCATAAATAAATTTTCTTATCATTGATTARCTAGTATACTATTTGCATAATGTAAGTTATACATGAATTAAGCTAATGATTATGATATTATAATGGGTARTATCTTGTATACATTAAACTTCGTTTTTATCATGTAATATGATTAAGTATGTTATAATGTAATATAAATGAGAAATATTTTTCACTAAATTTAGTTGTAAATATTGAAATTATATTATATTAAACTTTAATTAYTTTTTATCCTGTGTGTACACCATTAAAAAATGTATAAAATATGCATTGTGTACTTTTATTACTTTTTTCGTTTGGTAAAAATCATTATTATTTCCAACACTTTAAAAGTTGTCATAAATCATAATAATAATATTTTATGAAAAGAGTTAATATTTGTGTCTAAGAAACTATTCGAAAATATTTCTATTGAACTATAAGTGTCACGCATGGATAAATTCGAATAGAAAAAAATTTAAYAATAAATAGGTAGATAAGCACATAATGCAATAATTGCTTTTTACTTTCAAAAGTAGCCCACAATGGACATAAAATTTGAAATTAAATCAATATTATGAAAATATTTAACGCCTCTAAAAGTGACTTGGATGATGATTAAATAGCTATGTACACGCGCAAAATGTAAAAAAATATCACGTTATGGTAGGTACCTATAATAAGTTGTAGGTTGTATCAAGAAACATTATGTTTGAGTGGGTAATATTAATGAACGCTTGTTCTATTTCTTCTTGCGAATGATCGCAAAAACTGAATTAATGCCTGAATTTTGATTGAATGGCTTAATATTAACTTTCTAGCGCAAAAAACAATAGTTATACCTTCATGGTGGTTAATTTTTTATTTTTATTGAATACTAAACGTTAGTACTTGGTATACAAACCAGTGTATAAGGTAGATTAAATCCAAAACAGTGTAGGTACACGCTGAAMTTTGATTTTTGGTATACGGCCAAGTATTGTAATAATTTACTATTAAAATCGAAAAATGTTGTGATTTAAGAATTGAATGGAGAAAACACTCAAATTCATTATGAATTCATACGAGSAGAAATTTTTATTTATTTAAAAGTATAATAATTTCAACAAAGTGCATTTGATAAAAAAAAAACATTTCGCTGACATGTGGAGAAATGAGGTTTTTATCGATTGCAATGCATGAGATAGCTTACGCGGAGGTATAATTGAAAAATGTATCATTGCGATCCGATTAAAACGTAACGGGTTTGAATAAATGAGTTAATGGGTGTGAGAGATTATAAAGAAGTTAATGATCACTTTATCGCGTTAAATTTAATTATATCAACGCGGCTTATTTAGGTACTTTTTGTGTGTTAAAATAAATTAACGAKTTATTTTAAAAAGTAATAYCTTTTATGCTATTATAATAATATAAGGTTTGGAGTTCAATGCATTTTCAATTTATTTAAATTGCCTGACACGAATAAAAAAGCTGCAATTAATGCGTTTCAAGTTCAAACTAACTTGGTAAGATTTGTTGCTACATCGATAGTTTTTTACCTACCATTGTTGATTGTCTGGGATAAAATCAATAATCAATACACAAAATTAGTATARTTTAAAAATAATTGTACATATCTAGACGAAAATTTTAGTCAACAATCAGATCAGATCAGGTCTCAATTGTCAGTATTTGTCTAACGTGGCCCACGTACTCCACATTATATTATAGAGATATTGTTTTTATACACATTATTAATAATAATATTTTTTATTTTTATCGTGTAATATAATTTTTATGTGTATGGTTATTGTAATAATTAAAAATCATATTTTTTATAATATAATAAAAATAATATAAAAAATGTGTTTAGGTAATCTAAAACACATATGGTTGATTGAAAGAATTTCTTATCACTCGCGACAAATGAAATACTCTTGTTTTAAATAATAGACATATTAAGTTGTTATTTGAATTTTTTTATTTTTGTACTTTAACATGTTGTAATAGAATTAGTTAATGGTTTTGAAATATCATGAATTTCGGTTTTATTTTTATGACCAAGTATGGGAACACGTACCACTGTCCGCGCAATATGCGCATGCGTGCACGAAAGTGGTATCTGCATTGATTTCACTCATATTAATAATCGTTTACTACTTACACACACTATTAGATCTTAGTTGACTAAGACGAGATTAGAAATGGTCAAAAAGTCGCTCCTCAAATAATTACTGTAGCATTTCTATATTTGCAATAACATTGAAATCTAAGATCTCATTATGATGTACCTATGTATAATACATTTACGTGCTATCATCTAGAATYGAATTAAAATATGAATGAATGTAAAAAATGAGTTGGATTAAAAACGTTAATGATACAGCACTAAAATAGGCAACGAAATAAACAGAAATAGATACTTTGTCAAACATTTAAATCGTGTGAGAAATGTCTAGGAGAAGATAAAAAAAAATAAGATGACACTCGAATCGATTTTCTTCCTCCAYAAGTCGGTGACGTGAAAACATTAGGGATATTATTATTTAAAAGTGCTTATAGTTGTATATATATTAGTGCACACGAAAGATTGAGTGCCGTGACAACAAAACGCTAATCTCTTCAGTCTACACTTTTAAAGTTAAAAGTACATAGTCGTTCTATACCGGAAAAAAGTCGTATCAGATAGATAACGAGAAAAAAAATGAACGCGCCTAAAGGATAATATAACTTTCGTCTCGTTTACTACTGAAGCCGAAAACTGTTAAGTCTTAACTGATTTACTTTCGCCGTGTACATAATAAATTATACTAAAATGGCGTAGCGTATGCGTGCTTTTTTTTCGTCCCCGCTGACCTTTGTCATTACTCGTCTTAAAGCACGTTTCACTGCAAAAGCTATATTATACTCTTGTGTGTTAAGTTAACTGAYCTAATCCTTATTCATGTATCTAAACATCAGGTAAAAGGCATAGACAGAACCACGGACACCACATGCAACCGGGAAACCAAAAACCTGGAAAACTTTTTGTGTCGTCGGTCAATGYATGTATATACGCCACGTGTTGTATTAGGTGAATACAAAATGGCGATAATCAAAGCTCGTGTATTGCGCAACGTGGATATAATAATAAATGCCGAAAAAAAGGTCAGTAGTGGCTACTTTATATTAAAAGTATTCATGACTTGAATATAACTCGTATCGTGTATACTATCGGTTAATTATAATGAACCTTAAATATATTAAATATACAGGTAGGTACTATAATATATGGATGCCAGATTAGCTACTGACTAGTCCCATRAAATGAATTGACAACTAAATTGGAATAATGCCACTCGCGATGGAATCGAGCAGCGAAACTCGTCAGAAATAATATGTCRCGTCGTATAGCTCTTTCGAATAAAATGATTCAACCAATTGTTTTAGGATAAYAAAATCGACTTGAACAGCGTTATATTTTTACGAAATATGTTGATTATATACCTCCATGGCACTTTAAAAAAAATATGGACGCTGTCTCGCAAATTTTTACAATAATTATAGCAAGCTCCTTCTAGTTTATACTATCCCTTTATGTTTATACTACTTCAAAATATAATCAGAAAAAGAAGATTTGCTATAACGTATGAAAACCTATAATTTGCAACGAAGAAACCGCAACATTTARAAACTCTTCACAATGTTTCGTATTTGCAGTTGAAGCATTAGCATTAAGCACTAGAAATTGTTCAAGATAAAGTTTTCAGGRACTTTCCTAAATTTCTAAGTAAATCCTTAAGCACATTAGTTACCTCAAAGTACATGAACGTATAAAACTTTAGATTCAGTTAAACAGAAACAAAAACCTATTGCTCTTCATTAAAAGGGCAACTATAGGTTATATCTATGTGGATCCCTGGAAATTATTCTGAAGATGGCAATTAAAAAGCTAACTATTACGCCAAGAAAACTTCTTCACCTCTTTTCTCAAAAAYTCATTCCATACATAACTTATCAAGACTTAAAAAACAAATCAAATAATATTTATTTTCTKACATGGCAAAAACATTGGCGTAAACAATAMACTAAAATTCATAAGATAAAATTATCAATCTTCCGTTGTATCCTTCATTCAAATAAATAAATATTAAACAATACTACCGTACAAGAATTKGTGACTTATTTACCTGACAAGTTAAGAGATATTGACGTATCCTACATGTGGCCGAGAAAATTAATGTTAAGTATATCATGATTGGTTATAGAATATATCTATAGAAGCCTAAGCCAACTAAACAATTTCCTCTTATTTTCCTGGAATCATTTGGCCTGGACCCCACAATCACAGAAAATCTACTAGACTTCCTCAACCATAAACATATTTATAATATACATACATATATAATTCAAACAAAATTTGTTATTACATTAACTTAACATGTATTTAAACAGTTRTAACTTTATAAGTTATAAGTAATTTTAAAATATTTAATAAAATGCAATACTCAATCTTTTTWAAATGGTTTCTTTCTTAATAATAATGACATACCTATATCGATAAAAAAAAGTATTATTATAAATTCAATTTGGTCTCTATATGTTTGTGTGCGCTGTAAATTGTCATAAATTACGTTTTTGTAAAAACGCATTAAATAATTCATTTTTCATTAAAATACGGAAATATTTTTTAGCAGAATCCTTCCTGCGGAACCTCTGTCCAATATTACAGACTACCGAACTACAGAGCAGGTGGGCAAGGACGGGTTTCCGCCATCGTGAAATTATTATTAATAATGTTCACATAAAACTGTGTGGACCAACATCAAAATATCCATTTCATTGTTTTCCGTATCTTTTTTTTAACTAAAAAATTCTGACCAATCGCTGTTCCGTACGAAATCGATTTGGATTACGGACTTGAAAAGAAATGATACTATATTGTATACCATAAAGTTGGTAATGTAAACGTTCAAATAGCTAAATATTTGCAGCGGGAAAAGTAMTTTGTAACATTGTAAAATCATTTCGTAATCGTACGTAATATTTGTATCTCGGGGGTAGTTTTATTTATTTTTCGTGTTTATCTTCTTTTTTTACCATAATAGTAAACACGTTGCCAGGCAGCTACGACGCTGATCACAAACTCACATACAACATTAAATGTTAATAATACACCCGTATTTGGATAATATAATGACAAAGTTGTTTCGTTATTAAAATGCACGCAGCTAACTATTATAAAATGTACTCTCTTTTATCATAACAATAAAATAATAATAATATAAATTGTTATACGGCATAATTAATTACCGGCACTCTTTCCTCGGTCTCCACGATCAGATGGTTGTTTTTCATCGTCAGCGTGATAATGCTGCCGTTCAGGTTCGTTTTGTTCGTATCTCCAAAACGATTGTTGGGTGGACTATTGTACAATAGCGGTGGCAGCGGCGCGGAAGCACCGTTCGCCGCAGCGTAGCAACACACTGCTGCCGACGCCGCATCGTCCGGCATCAGGACGGAATACTGCGATTCGCTGGTCTTCAGCTGGGTCCAAAACACAATAATACGAATTATAAATATTATCATTATTATGTCATTATTAACAATGTGTCCAGACGGACGTAAGTTTCGTCATTTTGAGTATTCGTTTGATCTCTTTGCTCGCTTGTGCACGTATTTCATGGTCTT